ACCATTCTGAAGAATGCACATCAATATTTTGGGCATGTCGGAGGGAAGAGGACGCTATCACTCCTGTCTTCCCAATATTATTGGCGGCATATGGTAACCAATGTTTCCACTTACATTCGGCATTGTGATACATTCCACAGATGCAAGAAGACGAAAACAAAAAAGTTTGGGACGCTTGAATCACTGCCTCCAGCTGAAAAGCCCTTCGACCTCTTTGCAATAGACACCATTGGAGGATTTTCTGGATATGGTTCGTCAAAAAGGTTTATATACTTGGTTATTGATCATGCGACTCGCTACGTATGGGCGTTTGCTCATAAAAGTGAGAACAGCGACGCCTACATCTCATGCTTAAAAACATTTTTTCTTCTGGAAAACCACGGAAGCTCCTTTCAGATCGTGGAACAGGATTTACTGCAGGAAACTTCAAGCAGTTTTTGAAACATAATCGTATACACCAACTATTCATCTCATCCTCATCATCCAAAATGTAATGGCATGAACGAGTGGACAAACCAGACTATCGTAAGGAGACTTAAATGTAAGATCAATGACGAACCATAGAAGTCCTTGGACCAAGCTGCTTCCGGAGATAATTGACGAATACAACAGAATCGCCCCACGAAGTGACCGGCTACGCACCTTCCTTCCTGGTGTATGGAATTCCATCTTATCCTACTATACTGGAACAACGAGAAGAAACTGTCGAAGAAGCGCGAAAAACTTCAGTTACCAATTCTATTGCCTACCACAATAAGAACAAAGTCATTTATGATAGAAAATGTCTTCCTATTGAGTTCCAAGTCGGTGACTTTGTCCTTTACGAGACGCCATCGCATCCTAACAACGGCAAACTGAGTTACGTCATGGAAGGTTCCTTGAAGATTCTACGCAAGGTCTCAACAGTGAACTATGAGAAAAACCGCTCCGTGCTACACTTAGGTAGAAACTCTGACATTGTGCATGTTAGCAAACTGCGGCGTTATTTTCGTACCTTCTGAACTGAGGCTTTCTCGAGGGGAGGGGGAAGTGTGACGCATAACAAGGTGATTCTAGGAGAAGCCGACAAAGAGCAAGTGCGCGTGCATTAGAATAAACGCATGGTATCTGGACCACGACGTGTCTCCATTTTTTTGCGTCACACAGGTCTCGGAGCAAGTGGCATTCATAAAAAAATTTGGTGATCGGGCAGAAGTTTCTTCCTTTAGATAGCAGTTTTTCTTCGTCAGGTGACAAGCTAGTGTCCGTTAGGTTTACAACCACAGTGTCACAGGGTGTGTTCATAGATGGGTGCTCGTTTATACCGTTAGTGATTTTCTGGGTGGTGGTGTTGTAGTGATAAGGAACTATATCAGGGAACGCGGAGTTGGGCCCACGGTCTCTTTTGAGTTTGTGAATTTTTGTGGTCATGATGGCTTGGTATTTATTCTGTTCAAATTCTGTTTAATGGGTGATTTCTTCGTTCGATAAAATGTTGTGGCGAAGAATGGTGTCGGTTATAGCAACCAGTTTCTTTACCTGCTTATCACTGTGATTAAGAGCGATTTCTGTTAATTTAAGAGATGCCTCAAGTAGGACATTTTCCATGTTATTTGGTCGTGTGCATCTAGGTTTGTAGCGGCTGGTGTGAGGGAGAGTGTCATACCCTTTGGGGCCATTCTAGCACGAAGGTACACTTGCAATGTTGCTTTATGCATTTCATGTCTAATTCGTTTCTCAGCAAGTTTTCGTACTTTAAGGAAGGCGGCACTGCAACTGAGAAGCGATGAGCCGGACTTACATTTCAGAAGTCAATCTTGTTTTGGGTGCGGGGATGGCACTGATGAAGTGCGCAGATTGTAGTTATGTCCGGCAGGCCTTCGTCGTTGTAGGGAGGATTTAGGCGCTGGGCTCCCGGCGAACGTGTTCGTAATTCTGATGAAGGCCAGACTCTAGGCCAAAACGTCGTGTTAAACCACGTTGGGACCGCTGACGGAAAATCTATTTGACTATATATATATATATATAATATATATATATAGGCAGGCATGGTGGCGAAAATGGCCGTAGCGTTGCAATAAGTCAAGTAGATCCTCCAAGAGAACGGTAACAACGGAAGTGTTTAATTCGACAGTTTCGGCCAGAGTCTGGCCTTCATCAGGAGTCATGGTACATTCTGTTTGCGCTCACATTTATAGTATTTGGGTAAAAAATGAGAGGGAAGGAACGAAAAAAAACAGAAAGAAAGAAAGAGTTTGAAAAACGAGAGAGGAAAGGATATCCAGAAAGTTCCAGGTTCCACTGTGCTTCGCGAGTGGCGTCGTCAGTGTGTATATATATATATATATATATATATATATTATATATATATATATATATATATATATATACGTGTGTGTGTTCAGACAGAATATTAATGAAATCTAACAGACATTAATGTCAAGGAAAGTATAGGGGAGGTTAGTAGACCGAATTATAAGGCAAATGTGAAAAAAGAATAGTGGGTGAAAAAATAACTTGCCGTGGGCAGGAACCAAACCTGCGACGTTCGAATAACGCGTTCGATGCTCTACCACTGAGCTATCACGGGGGCTATCCTCCCAGCCACATTGTCGGGTATATATCTGAATTTAAATGTGGGAGTGTCAGTCAGCGCCATCTGTAGCCATGGCGGCGAGTGTGGCACACTCTTTTATAAGCCTGTCTTGCGTCACGTAGCACGTGAACTTATTACGAGCTGGCAGCTGACCAGTACTCCCTCGTATACAACCTAAGGCACCAAGTTTGCCAGTACGAGACCCTCGTTAATGAATAAGCGAAAGAAGTGTATACTTAAGGGCTCGTTCTTCCTCGTTTTGACACGATAATATTGAAATCTAACAAACAATATTACCAAGGAAATTAAAGGGGAGGCTATTATACCGAATCGTAAGGTAAATGGGAGAGAAGAAAAGTGGGTGAAAAGATAGCTTGCTGTGGGCAGGAGCTGAACCTTAGGTTGTATTCGAGGGCTATTGGTCAGCTTCCAGCTCGTAATAAGTTCACGTGCTACGTGACGCCCCACAGGCTCATAAAAGAGTGTGCCACACTCGCCGTCATGGCTACAGATGACGCTGACTGACACTTCCACTTTTAGATTCACATATATACCGTTAGGATTTCCTGTTTGCTGCGATGCTAGCGGTAGCGAAGAGCAGCGAGCAGTCGAACGGACTTCGCTGAAGCCTTCGCACGGAGGCGGAATAGGGAGGCAATTAGTTTTGAAAACGGCAACAAGAAAGAGCGTTTACTATAGCAGGTTGTCTTTTGAACAGAGCCGGCCAGCACGACGACGTCGGCTGGGGCAAAATCCTCAGAACATGAAGCCGGCACGGCTCTAAATAACGTTTTGGTGTTTTCTACGAGATCAGTTCCCCGGTGCCTGGTGAAGAAGCTGAAGCATTCCCCGGAACGGCACGGTGGCTCGGTGGAGGAGGCGACGCTTTGCCCGGAACTGCATGATGCCGCCATCTGCGTGGAAGGTGGCGCTGGGAGGGGGGAGGGAGGAGTTCGCCTGAACTGCGCTTGTTCTCGTGGAAAGAAGCGCTCCCGAACGAGGATCACGCCTGTGACATAACAGCAGCCCCGCCGCCAGACAATGCATCCTGAGTTTTCAGGCGTCTAGCACGACTCGGAAGGAGGGTCTGGTTGCCCGTAAAGAATTGTGGCTGTTCTGCTCTCTCCACCCGTGGTGACTTTCAGGGCCCTGCAGGGGATCACTGGAACGACGGAGTCGAACACAAAGCCAAACCACTCTGGTCAAAGCAAGCACCCTCCAAATGCTGATCAAATCGCCAGACCATCAGAAACGAAAATATTTCCTCGATATTAAGCTGGGATAAAAAAAAGCTCCATGAGCATCGTATCTCAGTAGGAATACATAATGTGTACACACCTTTAGCCAAGTGTCACTGCATGACACTATTAAACCAAACAGAATTTTTTTCGAAAGATTCTCAATTGTGATTTAGGCAGACTCTGGACGATCGAAACTGCTGAGGATAACTAAGTTTGGCCCCGAAACTGCAATTTAGAATAGTAAGCACTTTTGATTTATGCACATGGGCGTCGCTCGCAAGCGCCAGACTGTTAAACATAACAAAGTTCGTCCTTCGACAAGCTCACATTCAATGCGCACCGCCAACGATCATCAGGATAAGAGAAAGCACGCTTGAAAAAAAAAGAAAATAAGACTTAAAATCAAACATGTGCACGTTACACAAAACAAACTCAAAAGTTAACCTACACCGCCATGTAAGCACGTAATGCCAAACGCAGAAGATACGCAGAAGGGTGGGCTCGGTGACTGCACCACAATGCAGCCATCTAATCCACTTACCTTTGCAATGCAGACGACCATACTTGTGTTTGCCAGCCTGCAGCTGTCGAACATGATAGGCCTATCCTCGGGGGCGTCATCTATGTTGGTGCTGCCGGGCTCCGAAAGCGAGCCAGGCTCCTGCCGCCTACTACGCACCAACTGCTCGTCCCCACCGGATATTACGTCGGAGGAACTACTATCACCGGAAATCACCGTGCTATGGAAGGCCGCATCGTCATCAACCACAGCATCATCAAGTATAAAGGAACATCACCCGCTGACGCCACTTCGTGGGCTCGGTGACTGCACCACAATGCAGCCATCTAATCCACTTACCTTTGCAATGCAGACGACCATACTTGTGTTTGCCAGCCTGCAGCTGTCGAACATGATAGGCCTATCCTCGGGGGCGTCATCTATGTTGGTGCTGCCGGGCTCCGAAAGCGAGCCAGGCTCCTGCCGCCTACTACGCACCAACTGCTCGTCCCCACCGGATATTACGTCGGAGGAACTACTATCACCGGAAATCACCGTGCTATGGAAGGCCGCATCGTCATCAACCACAGCATCATCAAGTATAAAGGAACATCACCCGCTGACGCCACTTCGTGGGCTCGGTGACTGCACCACAATGCAGCCATCTAATCCACTTACCTTTGCAATGCAGGTCAGTAAATCGTATGTCCTCTTTGCTAAAAAGTCGAGTAATTACTTCCTGGTGCAGTTCCCGAGCCCCCACTGCTGTATTACGATTGCTGTTGAGTGTGCTCATATAATTCACTCGTTGCTGATCTTATCGGGTGACGTCGAAACTAATCCTGGCCCAAACGGAAACGCTGCTATTCTTACTGAGCTACAAAAGCTAAGTGCCGGCCAGGCCCAGCTGATTGCCGAAGTTCAGAGTTTGAAATCTCAACTAAGCACAACGGATAAAAGAATAACAGACTTAAACAAACGAATGGGCGATCTCGAAACACATTACCAAACTCTTCTTCCCTCAGAAATGATATCGAAAAAACACAGACTAACGTAATCAACATGACTAAAAAAATTCAAGAGCTAGAAACTTCCCTGGATGACGCTGAAAACAGGTCGCGCCGGAATAACCTTCTATTCTACGGCATCCCTGACCCCACTAGGAATGAAACGTGGGCTGAATCTGAAAAAATGATAATCGATATCTGCAACAATAACCTTGGACTAACAGTGCAGCCTAACGACATAGAACGCGCACATCGTCTCGGTATTCATTCACTAAACCGAAATCGTCCCATAATTGTGAAATTTTTATCATACAAAACCAGAGATGCACTTTTATCAAACGGCAGGAAACTGAAGAACACTAACTACAGCATCGGGGAGGACTTTTCCCGCCCCGTTCAATATGCGCGCAAGCAATTACTTGCATTTGCAAAAACACGTTCGGACAAGTTCTCCTTGCGGTTCAAAACGCTGCACGTCGGGTCGAAGCGCTATATATTTGACGCATCATCACACATGGTTAAGGAAATTGCATAGCGGTTACCCCGCCAACAAAGAGCAATAAAACGCCAAACGGCTTCCCCATGTCATGTTCTCTCGTTTTCCGTAATATTCACTAACATACGTAGCCTTCTTCCAAAACGTGAACTCATATCCAACATTATCTCGTCATCAAAAAGCAACATACTCGTATTAACAGAAACGTGGCTTACCAGCGATATAACGGATGCGGAAATATTAACTGACTTACAGGACTTCCACGTGTACCGAAATGACCGAAATGGCTCACGGGGGGGCGGAGTACTTATCGCAGTTCATCGGGGCATATCTTGCTCCGTTGTTAACGTCGATTCCGATACCGAATCCCTGTGGCTAATTTGTCGTACTAACACCGTAACTGTCCTACTTGGCGTCTGCTACAGGCCCCCGCAAACGGATCCAAATTTTCCATGTCATCTGAACAATTCCATTCAAAAACTTACTTCCGCTTACCCAAAGGCTCGCATTCTTCTGTTCGGTGATTTTAACTACCCTAATATTGACTGGCAAAACATAGTTACTTCTACATTATCATGTCACGCAGAGGCGAAAAACTTCCTCGATGTATGTCTCAACTTTAACCTTACACAATTAGTCGCCCAACCAACCCGTGTCACACGAGGATCAGCAAATATTCTCGACCTGATATTAACCAATAGCCCCGAGAACCTATTATCTATTACTTACCTTCCTGAGATCAGCGACCACAAGGTCATACATGCTTTATTTTCATTTACCTCGACCAAAAAACAGACGACTAATAAAACAATTGTTCTTTATGATAAGGGTAACTATAGTGCAATATCTGAAGATCTCAGTAACTCTTTTAATCAGTATGAATCTACATTTCACACGCGCTCAGTTCATGACAACTGGTTGATCTTTAAGGACAAAGTAAATCACCTCTCTGATATGTTTATCCCGAAGATTACTTTTCAAACTAACCGCAATAAACCATGGTTTTCTCGGCATTTAAAAAAAACTTGAAAACAAAAAGAAACGACTTTTTCGTACCGCCAAACGCAACGGCAAGCCTACTGCATGGCAAAAATACATCGAAGCTGAAAAATCATATTTGCTATCCGTTCGTAAAGCCAAATACTCGTTTTACCATATAGACTTACCTAATCTCTTAATCAGGAACCCCAAGCAATTCTGGCAAGTTCTAAACCCCACACATCCTTCCGATATTAAACTAACGAATGATTCACACGAGACAGTGACTGACCATGATTGCGCAGAAATATTCAACGAAGCATTTGCATCTGTCTTCACTACTGAACTTGACATGCCCTCACAGTCGCCATCATTTAGCGTAGAAACTTTCATGCCTGCTGTCACCTTCTTCGAAGAAGGCATCTCATCTATAATCCACAAATTAAAACTTTCTTCATCAGCTGGTATGGATTCCATCAACTCGAAACTCCTCAAGAATGTGAAATCGACTTGCGCAGCATACTTATGTCTTATCTTCTCACAGTCACTCACCTCAGGAATCATGCCGGATGATTGGAAAACGGGCAAGGTCGTTCCAGTCTACAAATCAGGTAACAGAAACTCACCCTTGAACTACCGCCCCATTTCATTAACCAGCGTGCCTTGTAAGATCATGGAACACGTCATCTACTCACAAATCTTCAATTTTTTGGACTCCAACGAATTTTTTCATCCTTCACAGCACGGATTTCGAAAGGGCCTTTCTTGCGAAACCCAATTAGCACAATTCGTTCATGACCTACAGACTAATCTCGACTGTAATATCCAAACCGACTCAATATTCCTTGATTTTGCAAAAGCTTTCGACAAGGTTCCTCACCAGCGTCTGTTACTGAAACTTTCAAAACTAAACTTGCATCCTAACATTTTCAGGTGGCTTGAGGAGTTTTCTAACTAACCGCTCGCAATCTGTCTATCTTAACGGCCACCTGTCTAAACCACTCCCAGTCACCTCAGGCGTCCCACAAGGGTCTGTTCTCGGTCCTCTCCTATTCCTAATATATATTAATGACTTACCATTGCATGTTTCCTGTAACATTCGCATGTTCGCTGACGATTGCGTAATCTATCATACTATTACTAATTGTCATGACCATCACATCCTTCAGAGCAACCTTAACAATATAATAAACTGGTGTAATATTTGGCTAATGACTCCTCAACCCCACTAAATGCAAACTCTTGTCCTTCTCTCGTCGTCACGATCCCTCTCGCTTTCAGTATTCTATTTCTAAATCATGTATCGAATTAGTAGAATCGTATAAATATCTAGGAGTCACCCTTTGTTCTAATTTATCATGGCGCGCCCATATTACAAACATCATTTCAGCATCGAACAAAACACTGGGTTTTCTTAAACGCCACCTTCGCCTTTCCCCACCACATGTTAGATTACTCGCGTATAAATCGCTTATAAGACCAAAATTAGAATACGCATCTGCCATCTGGAGCCCCCATCAAGCATACCTAATCACTGCCTTGGAAGGTGTTCAAAATCGGGCCACCCGTTTCATCCATTCCTCATATTCATATGACATCAGCATTTCACCATTGAAACATGAATCTGGCCTATCACTCCTTTCTTATCGTCGCCGCATTGCTAGCCTAACCCTTTATCATAAGTTTTTTTATTCTTCACTCAATCAAGCCCCTTATATAACAGCCGCCTCACGCATTTCCCACCGCACCAGTCATTCACTTCAAGTTGCCCGCCCGCCATCACGCACCACTACGTTTGCTGCTTCGTTTTTCCTCAGAGCAGCTTCAGACTGGAACGGCCTGCCCTACGACATTGTCACAATTGCCTCATCATCTACCTTCCTGGAACGCCTCACCGATCATCTGCCATGTTAATTCAATTTTAACTGTTTGTTTGCAATGTTAATTGAATCTCCGCTGTTTTGAATTGTAATCCCACCCCTTATGTAACACCCCCTGAATGGGGGCCTTTAAGGAAATAAAACTGAACTGAACTGAACTGAATACTTCAAACAGTTGCTTTTACTGAGTCTTCTCTGCTAAAGTAAAACACAGTGAATGTTACCTTTCGAAGTATTATGAAAAAAAATGAATCGAACAAACAGATCAATACCTGCTTCTTCTATGACAAGGAAAGTAAAACTTACGAAAATTTTGACGCATTCCTAGCTCATCTGCAGACGAAAAAAGTAGAAAACGTTATTCTCAAAACTACACTCCTGGTATTGCTAGGCGGCAAAAAATACACTCCTGGTATTGCTAGGCGGCACTCTCTCAGGCGAACTCTGGGGAGTCGCGCATTTCACATCATTCGATGGTGGCGGTCTGGACAAAAGGACGGCGAACGAACTTGTTCACCGAACTCAGTAGCAACAACTTTTGACCCGCAGCCACTGAACTCGAAGAAAGGGGCATCTGCACTGCTTCGTTTTCCCCTCCCGTTCGACCAGTGACCCTCTCGCCACAGCGGGGAACGACAGCCTTTGTTACAACTCAGGGGTACGCGATGCTTCCCCTCGAAGTTGCCCTAAGTGGCATCCAAATTGATGAGGCCAAGCGAAGATCTCGCCGTCCGAATTTTCCCGAAAGTTGGTTTTTCTCAACATGCTTTCCGCCAAATCTCGAACTCCGCGACAATCAGCGCTTCAAACATTTCACGGGGGTCCTTTTCATGTGCCTAGCCTTGAACCTGGAGTCTCGAATGAAGACGTCATGACACTTAACAGTGGTTTTAACACGCTTGGCGCCCGTCGTCTTTACCGCGTTAAGCTTATGCCAATGCCTCTTTCTGTCGGGACGTCTCGCAATACTTGCAGCCTCGACACACTTACTCACAAGTGCACTGCCTTCTTTTTGTGGAATCGAAGCTGCCGATTCGTTAGCTAGCGTCTCCTCGGGCCCGTTGCTAGCTGTCTCTGCCTGTGACAAAGTGGGAGTCCCGATGATTTTAAGGCTAACAAACGTGCTTACAGAGCTTTCGGTCAGGTGGGGATCTATCGCAGTCGTGGATAGCACTTTTTCTCTAGCCTTCGAAGTCGGCCTCATGCTTTCTTTCACGAGCTTTTTTCTGTAGCACTTTATGTCGCGCATCCTGCTCAAGCTTTTGTCGACAGGCGTCAATTTCTGTCGCCTTGTGACGCGACTTGTCGTCAAGCTCTTTTCGACGCAATTCATCTTGATCATGTGTGCTGCGAAATGGCTCCGTCTGCATCGCTTTATGATGCACCTCAGCGTCCTTAACTGTGCGATGGACCTCAGCCTCTAACTCCACGCGATGCACCCCAGCGTCTGGCTCTCTCCGACGCACTTCGGCGTCTTGAATCTTGTGATGGTCCTTAACGTCAGATGCCTCGCAACTTTCCTCATCCTGAAGCGATACACGACGGGCTCTCGCCTCTTTACGGCGCGCGTATTCCAGCAGTGCTCTACGACGCGCCTCATCCTCTCGCTCTTCTCGGCAAGCGTCTACCTCAGCGCCTTTCCACGTGCTTCAGCACTGTCACTACCGCTCTGACTTCCAGCAGGACTTGAAATAAAAAACAAATACCTTATCAAAGCATATCTAGCCTGACTAAAGTCTCCTGTTTCCTCGGGGGGTAAACAATTCAAAACATGCGCGATCTTGCGCGGCAACAAAGTGGCGAGCTTCTCCACCCAAAGGTCGCAGCTAACACCCACAATACAGCAGACAACTTCAAGATCATCAAGAAAATGCGCGATGTTCTCGCCTGTCTGAAAGTTGTGGAGCTGGCGTCTCGCTTGCTGCCACTTAAGTGCTTGAATTTTACGATCAACTCTCTCATTCGGATAGTATGCGCTCTCCTTTTTCGGCTCTCTTCGGCCTCCACTATTCGTGTCTTTGAGCTTCGAGCTCTTCGCGACTCTTCTCGACCTTCTGCTTTTGCTCACAAATGAGCTCCCAAAACTCGTCAGCTTCCTCGGCCGTCACATTCTCTGCCCGCATCACCTCGAGAATCGCTTCCCTTGTTTTAGTGGACCCGGCGGAAATCCCCACGGCGCCATAAATTTCAAGGAGGTCCTCTACAAGGTACTGCTCTATTGCGATGTCGTCCCTCGTGATGCTCTACTACTGATGCTCACGGTAGTGTTCATTTCCCCGGCATTCACCATACTCTATGGTTAAAAACGAAGCCAGATATGGTAGAAAATGAAGTATCGCAATCGTTTACAGAAAGCAAAGGTATTTTTTCTCCATTTTCTGACCTAATTAGACAATTCCCATAAGTTCTATGACTTATGTGGGGTGAGTAACTGATTCCTCCCGCATGGAACGACAACGATTTTCATCACCCTCACCCAAAATAAGCATAAAGAAATATATATATATATATATATATATATATATATTTATGTATATATATATATATATATATATATATATATATATATATATATATATATATATATATATATATTATGAAGTCTTGGTAGTCCTGGTTGCGACAGAGTTTAATTGAGGAAAGTCGTCACAAAACGAATGGGCGGCGCCAGTACACAAACGATGACGATAATGATGATCCAGAGTGGCAATGAGGACAATGACAAAGGACAATGAGGAAAATGTGGTGGTCGCCAATGTCCGGTTGAAGGCGAACGGAATCCAGCGCATCAAAGCGCTGGCATGTCGTCACGACATCAGCGATGGTAGCTGGGTTTTGCACAGCAAGTGCATTAAAGGCAACAGGCCCGATGCCTTTCAATATGTGGCGCACTTTGTCCGATTCTGGCATGGATTGGTTGACACGCCGGCATAGTGCGAGGACATCCTCGATGTATGAAGTGTACGATTCACCGGGATGTTGTCGGCGAGTATCTAGTGTCCTCTTCGCGACGGCGGATCGAATGTCCGGGGTCCCAAAAACGTGTCGCAGCTGCTGCTGGAAGGTAGCCCACTCGGGTAAGTCAATGACGTGGTTAAAATACCATGCCTTTGCGACTCCGGTCAG